CATCTCCTTTCACATACTTTATCACCAACAAACAAAATGGTGGCACGATTCGATGCTCATTATCCGCCCCGCATAAATCTGTAACTTTACCGTACATTTTATATAGGACAACAGTTAAGGGAGTAATTCCTCAAGTTTGTACGAACCAGGCGGGCGTGCGTTCAGTGGGGAGGCTGCACTGCCGGATCGGGTAATTACACAGGGAATAGAGCATGTTTTATTGATCGTGAAAAGGCTAGCCCTGTCACTGAGCCTGTCTGGGGACTCACAACGCGGGGCCCATCTGCACCTGTCACCTCGGATAACGGAGATCGGACGGTGAAGAAAAAGAGGAAGAAAAAGGAGGAGGAGGAAGAGGGCTTGGGGAGGAGAGACTTGTGTGGTGATGGTAGATGGAGTCGTCTTTAGGCTTGTCATGATAATTGCTATATAGACTTATCGTTCAATATATAAAAGTTGAAGCAATATCATTTTTTTTTTGACAATAGTGTAGATTTTGAATATTTTTTGTAGTTTAAAGGTGTATTGAACAGCTTATTGTTGTCTAGAGTCTGCCACCTGCTTGAAAATGTTATTACTTTGTTTAGAATGCCCCACAGTATGGTTTTAAACTATTACTACTATACTGTTTCCATGGAGACAAGCCCACAATGCCTCCAGGCCAAGTTCCAGGTCAGATCGTGGAGAGGCGAGCTCAGTCACTGTAGGAAAGCATGTTTTTTGTTGAACTTTTGAGGAATAAAACACCTGTAATTGAATAAAAGTGACATCTAATGCCATACTTTGAATCTTTCGTGCAATCCATGGAAACAAGTTTGTTTTGGACCCCCTACCAGAAAAGTTACACAGTGCACCTTTAAATCTAATTTTTTGTGTCAGTGGCATACATTTGTTTCAGTATTATCGTTTATCATCTATGTTTTCTTATATATCATACTTTAAAATGAGTTATTGTGACAGACGTAGTGGTCTTATGTGAGAGACGAGAGTGCAGTAGTTTTAGTGTAGTGGGGAGATACAGAGAGGCAGTTACAGACAGGAAGTGCAGCAGAGATAAGAGTGTTCAGGAGGCAGGCTTACAGTGGCTCACAGCACCGAACAAAGACGACTTACACGGTTAGAGGCAACAAGGCTTAAGATGTATGCTGTGAAAAGTGAGGGCCTGGAATCAAAGGGTGGAAGGAACATTCTGGTAGCTCAAGTGGAGACACGCAGTTCAATTCAGGTGGCTGAGTAGGTAATGTTCACACCTCACAGCACGTTCAGTTCCAGGGTCGCCTAAGTCTTTCTGTGTAGAGTTTGCATGTTCTCATTGTGTCTGGGTGGGTTTCCTTGGGGCAATCTGGTTTCACCATTAACCCAAATTCACAATAGCTAAAGTAGTCCTAAACTAGATTAGGTCATGATCTGGAGGTGGGTCCCCGGGTGCTGACAGGTTGCCCCTGTGGAATTGATGGATGGGTCAAATGTAAAGGACACATTTCCCTACGAGGACAATGAAATGTAGCCAGGCTGACACCACCTAGTGCCTCCTCTCAATTTAATTTCTCTCCAGTGAGTTGATCAGGAATCGGAATACACTAGACGATTTGCAAGAACCCTGGAAGTTGTAGACTGTGCACCAGCCAATCAGCGAAGAGCTGTGAAGCCATGTCAAACTCAAGCGCGTGTTTGGGTCCCTTTTGTGGTACAGCACAACAGTAAACAAAGCGGTCAAGATGGATGTAAACAATACAAACTTCACATTTTTTTATTGCACCTTTAATTCACAAGTTCAGCTCACAGAAACAACAGTGATCGTTGACAAACATGTTCACTGCTGTGTTTGCTGTTGTGCTGCTAATTACTTGAACACCACTGAGCGTTCTTTCGCATTACATACATCACGACCAAATAGCAGCGATTGCTTGAATAAAAAAAGTACATGCATAGCGTTGAGTGAACAAATCCTAAATGAAATGTACCTTAACCTTAACATTTACACACTTCACAAAATTACCTAAATAAGTTATAAAAGTGCAGTTTTCACAAAGTGGCAAAACATGCACAGCAACAGACTCTATTCACACTTACATCACAACCCAAGAAAATGACGACAACTTCCTTTTTCTTCATCTAAATGTCATTGTAGTGTTCCGTTATGTTCGCCTAATCAACAATTACAACCATAGCTCAGTTTTCATCATTTCCCCACTGACACACAACTCGGAGCACACTGTTTACATGCAGTTACAAAAGATGAGGCGCCAAATTTAAAATGATTCCAAACAGCACATATGTATACAGTCTTCATTTTACCGCTGATCACATTTACTTCAATCATAGTTATCACAGTTGGTTTTAATAGATCCATGTTAGGCGAGCCAAGTGTTGGTAACGACACTGGAAGTTGTAATCGCATCTTTTCAAATGTCTTCCTGGTTTGTGACCAAAGCGTGAATAGAACCTATTGTTTACCGAATACTGCAGACGGCTGCCAGTGTACCTCTGGAGCCCATGGTGGCCCTGATTCTAGGAGTGTTTTTGCCTGGAGCGTCATGCATCATGTTTATAGGGTCTGTATGGGGTTATATGCCAAACTGGTCCTAGATGATGGGAGCAATTCATAGATCTTCATAGATTTCCTATGAATAGTTGAACAGCAAGCTGGGGCCTACTCTGTCTTTCTCTATCTCCATTCCACTAACTCTACTCTCTACCCCATCCCCCTCCTTTCTCTCTCTTTTTCTCTCTTTCTGTCTCTCTCTCTCTTCTCCCTCTCTATGTCTGTCTATCCTATCCTAATCAGCCTCACACCATCATGTCATCATGGAAGGACCCCTGCACAGAGCCTGTATTGTTCTGTCCTGCCTCTAACGCGCCTGTTGAAAATGACATCACTTTTATTCACAAAAAGATCCACATCCTGTTAGCATCTGGTTAGCATCCTGTTAGCATCCTTCTAGCTCTTTTAATGGTTGTACAGACAGTCCGGCAGAGCGCAGCCTGATCAGGATACAGCTCCCCTCACTCAGAATGGAGACTTGTTAAATTTAGTGTTTTAGTGTGTTAATTTTGACGACTAATATTAATTTTGTTTTACTGTCATCTTTTGTCTGAAATGCTGTTAAGTTACTAAATTACATAGTCACATTATTGTTTTTCATTACATTTTAAGATCCCAATATTTATAATAGTCGATACAGTTAGCAGTTTGAGCTGGTCCAATGTACGTCACCCATGCTCCTGCACGACAGTTTTTCATAAATATACAAAAGCAAGATACAAAACAATACACTACTTGACAAATCTGATATGATGATGTGCAGTAGTTTGTGCATGCTGATTATGTTGTGATAGCTCTCTGAAGGGGAAGTGACAAACTGATACTTTGTTGATCACTGATATTATATTACACAATACTTTTTCACATGCATATCCATTTTCATGGTTAAACTTGTCACTATGATATGATAAAGTTTGATTTTATTTGTACATGGACAGTGTACAATGTTACATTGACCTCAGAAGGAAAGATGCCTTGTACCAAGTTATAGAAACACATGCTGATTCAACATGTATTCCCTGGACAGGTTGTAGTGTTGTAGTAAGAGCTACTGAAAAAAGGAGTTTAAACAAGATTGTGTGTGTGTTATATGTGCGTATAAAAAATCTTAAAAGTTATGAAAGTAAGTAGAGTCCAAAATAAAGTCTTTTATTATCCCGGTGCTCAGGGACCTGCAGGTGTTCAGGTGTTTGGCTGTGATGAATGTGACTCTGGGGAGGTGTATGGTCCTGTCGGCTCCCCCTGACAGAACAGGTGCCCAGGGGAGGAGCTCCGGCTGAACCAAGGGAGCCAGGTTACCTGGAGGGAATATAAACACTGGCCCCTGAGACCGGAGCCCCGCCGGCCCCTGTCAGCCCCTGTCTGCCCCTGTCAGCCCTGCGACGGGTGCACTCTTAATCATGTAAGAGCAGAGTATTAGATCGCTGACCTGCTAAAGCTAATAAATGTGCCCACTCTGTCACTGCAGCCACTAGACACCAGGCTGTGTTTGTAGAGTGGACAGTGGAGTGGGCATTGGGCCCAGATTTTTAGAATAGATAGAACAACACATTTTCAGGTAAAACTAAATATTAATTGTCTATTTTTTTCTTTTTTCTTTCTTTTTTTTTTTTTTTTTTCCAAAACGTGTTAGCATTTACTTACCTAATAAAAAGGTATGTCACCTAATATTTTTGATTGAATGAAGATGTACAGCCCTTTAAATGTTCAGGACTGATAATTTTTGTGACAAACTTTTATTTATATATGTATATGAGTGTGTGTGTGTGTGTGTGTATATATATATATATATATATATATATATATATATATATTCTTTTAAAAATGTATGATAGTACATGGCTGTTTTACAGATGTATACTGAGGTGTAATATACGTATATGTTAAATGAAAACAGTGCCTCAGTTGTCCAGGTGTGGTTCAACGTAGAGAAGGTTTCAAATCAAATGTAAAATGGCTTCTGGATGGTGCTGTGATGACAACTGTTTCTCTACATATTTGTGGAAACTATCATAACTATGATATATTATACAATTATACTCCAGAATACTTGTTGTTTTGTTTCATTCACACATGTTTATTCACACATGTTTAAACACACAAACCCTGCATATTTAGGTTCTTCTTTCAAACTAAAATCCCAAGGTGGAACAGAGCATTTTCAGGTTTAGAAATGTAGACAAACTAATGTGTCAATGAAACAAAACACATCTTAAAGTATGTTTTCAAGGAGGTGGCATTATAACATGTCTAAACCCTCACAAGAGTCAGTTTTGTGTCATATAGGACCTTTTCTAGTCAAAAAATGCCAAACGCTAAATCGCAATGTTTCTTCTCACAATAACGCTATCACAAAATTTCTGCCATATTTCCCATATTAGCTGGTTGATAATAATAAACTTCCATCCAAATCCTAACCTCTCTCTCTCTTCCCCCCCTTTTTTCCCTCTCTCAGGTTGTATGTGACCCGAGGAGCAGCAGCAGACTAGTCCCACCATGTGTTAGGAGCTCCACACAGAAGAGCCTTTTGTTCCTCTCATATCTCTGAAGGTTCCACACACCGGGAGAGCCATGGGGCGCAAGAAGATCCAGATCACCCGCATCATGGACGAACGCAACCGGCAGGTGAGTGTCACGAGGGAGCACCGTTATCCAGCACCCATGGGCGCACCAACAGGCTCACACAGTCCAAACAGTTACACAAGAGCAAGGGACGTGTGAAGAGAGGAGACTGATTTGGGTCAACTACTTTATTGGCAGCGCTCACACATACTGTACTGTACTCTACAAATGGGGGCCACATTGCTGGAGAATTAGTGGGGCTTTCCTGGGCAGAAAAATGTGCTTTCTAATATGAGTTAGTTTTCAGCAATGGGTAGTACTCACACATGTACTCAAATACATTTACTAAAAGGGCCCATATTACACAGTTTTCTGATATATGTTATAATGTTATTTCTTCATCACAAACATACCCAGACTTGTGTTTTGTTTTATCCACAGATTTAACACACAAACCCTGCATTTTCAGGCTTCTCAAACAGAAAACACACTACTTTTAAACTCTATACACCTACACTAGAATCATGTGGATGATTTTGGCCCTGAAATTGCCTACCTCTCTCATGACATCACAAGGTGTAACAGAGCATTTTGAGCTTTGAAGATGTAGACAGACATATGAATGAATGAAACAAAACACAATTGAGGAGATAACAGCATTATAACATGGCTTAAAACTCACAAAGCTCAATTTTGTATAATGTAGGATGTTTAAAAAATGTACTTCTGCTGTTATAGTGTAACAGGCTTCTCATGTGTGTGTATTAAGAGCACATGAGAGGTTAAACTACTAATTTCACTAAATCAGAGTTGGCATGGTTGGTTATTTTTTAAATTTTTTCTACTTTTTATTCTTTCATAATTGACTTGACTTTTGGCAAAACTCTTCAAATCAGTGCAGACTTACCACCCTGCAATTTTCTGCAACCGCCCTCCACAGATCTGGGTGATGAGGCAGCAGAGAGGCCCGCGAGTGTGGGACTGAGCTGAGGTTAGCCTGGCTCTAGACCTGCTCCTTTGACATGAAAAACAGAACTAGTTCCTATTAAACGGTTTGCAATGGTCCGAAGTTATTCATTATGCAAACAGAGTGTCCAAATTTTTCACCGCCATGAGTTTATAAACAAAATCGTCACACATTTTATACAGCGCTTTTCCACCTTTTTAGACTCTCAAAGTGTTTTACATCAGGGAATCACTCACGTAGTCAAACACACAGACACTGGGTCAGTTTTATATCAGGAGCAGGATTTGAACTGTCAACCTTCAAATCAGTAGACAAACACTCTTCCAACTGAGCCACAACTACCAACAACTAGCATGCTAACACACACTTTATGATTCTCAAACAATAAAATACTATCTGATTAAATGCAGACAGTTCACAGCTGACACAGAGGGGTTCCCACTGTCATGGAAATCCTGGAAAAGTCATGGAAATTGAAAATGTCATTTTCTAGTCCTGGAAAAGTCATGGAATTTTAGTATCTCTTTCACACAATTACAACCTTCTGTTAGGTTATTATTAGGCTATTATGATTATTTCCGAATGTCTGCACCTGTTTGTTTAAAAGAGATGACAATAAATGCACTGACAGTATTTTGAATGTTAAAAAACTATAAAACCAAACCATAAGATGAGTGGAAAGGGTTAACATTTCATATTTAGCCCTAAAAGTATGATCAGTTTTACACATGTAGGGTGCCGTAAAGTCATGAAAAATTCACTTTAGGTCATGAGAAAGTCATTAAAAAGTTTTGTACCAAAAAAGTTTTGTAAAAATGTTGTCAGTGAAATAGAGTGGGAACCCTGCATACAGTATTTTGACATCAAGAGCTGCTTATACAATATATCTGTACTGGCGCTAGACACATTTTGTTCAAATACATAAAACAAACAAACAAACAAACAAACAAAAACAAAAAATCCAAAACGGATACAGGACCATTTAAAGCTCATGAGAACTGAAGTTGGATTAGCTGCTCCTCCAGACCTGCTCCTCTTTTTTTTTTTTTTTTTTTTTTTTGGGGTGATTAAAGCAGCCACAGTCCCACAACACCCTCTCATTTACAGGGCGGGTCAGCGGGACACATCTCACCCTCCGCTCCGTCTCTAAGGTTAAATTTAAACTGGTGAGGAGGAAAACAGGCAAGTGCTGTGGTTCTCAGAGTGCGGTGCGGGTTCCTCAGCTATCCATGGGTTTTAGACAGATGGAAATTGTCGACTGTTGCCATAGTGATTAACAATCTTAAACAAATGCCGTAGACTAACGGAAGTCTGAGGCTGCCGATTTGCCCCGCTGGCCCCTCTGACCATGATCAACACACACACAGACTAGGTGAGGTGGGTGAAGTGCAAATGCTGTAATTGAGCAAGGCACTTTTTCCAAATACCAACTCACAATTCTTGCCTGGAAGTTGGTCAGAAGTGAAGTAAACTGAACTGAAATACTAGTACTGCCAGAGTTGACATTAAAGCAGACCTGTTATACAAAATTTAATGAAGATCTGCCAGTAAAGTTTGATATTTGTACGTGCAGCTTACCACAACTGAACCAGATCTGTGATTTCCAACAGTGTGTGTGTGTTTAGACATTATGCTCCTCACAGGTGTTGGCTGCAGCTTTCCCTCCACACACAAGTACATGATGAGGCTAAACTCAGCTAGTCCCCTTGCCCGTGTCTGTGCCCGAGAGGAGCAGCAATTACCCGGTACATCTGGCCCAGAGCAGAGGGTCCAGAGCAGGTCGCCCCCTCCCCTCACCCATGCAGCAGGCTTCTTCTGTCTGTCACACCTCTGCAAACAAGCATCATAAAGGAATATTCAGGTAGACAAAAGGATAGGCTCAAAATCAGACAAAGTTATAAGGAGTTTGCAGCTCTCTGCCATGTTGTTATTGAAAAGCTCAAAGAGGACATGTGTCTACCAATTTGTAAATAAAACAACACAGAGTAGAGACAAAAAAGGCCAATTGTACTATGCCTAAATTCCAAAAATATGAGCCTGACATGAGCCTAAAAGCTATTCCAGTTGGTTTAAATCTAAAATGCCTCTCTCTGATCTGAATGGTCACTTCTAAACCCCAGCACCCGCAGACAAACATGAGTCAGTGCTAGTGCAGCCTCTGTAGCTCAGAGAGGGAATTCTGGAGGTTCTGAGCTTTGACATGAGGAATGGCCTGTCCTTAGACTGTATGTGTCCTCTATGTGTAGGTTAAGACAGTGGCAACTCTGGTTCAGTTGTGACTGTGGAACATTCCTTAAAACTGTAAGAGCACAAGCTACATACATTTAATTTAATTTACATTTGTGATTAAACAACTGAAATAAAATGATACTAAGTATACTGTCAAAATCTGAAACGGCCTATTCTGACCAGGTACAGTATTTAACATTTCTGATGGAGGGTCCCGTGCTTTTGTCCACGAAGATGTTTTAGCTTTGCCAGCAATGTTCCACAGCACGACATTCAACCTGTTGATCTTACTGGTTTTTATTACTAAAAACCTACTTAAACATGCATTCTTTCTCTTAATGAGATCACCTCTCCACAGATCTGACCTAACTTTACTCTGTGGTGTCACTTGCTTGTCGCCACAGGGATAGGTATGTTAAATGCCATACTATGGAACATTCCAGTAACATTTCCACTGGGACGAACAGAAGGCATACCTTCTAAAAGTGACATAGTGTAGTAATAGCCAGTTATAGTAAATAGTATAGTTTTAGCCTCCTCCTCTGTGTAGTGCAGGTCTCACTAAATATCTCAACAAAGTTTAGCCGATGCTCCAGACTGTTAAGTTTTCCCCATTATGCTAGCTCAGCAGACAGCGCAGTCACAAAGGCCACACGCTAAACTCCAGTGCGCTCTTGTCTCCACAGTGATGTATGTGAGAGTATTATGGTCTGTTTGCAGAGGGCCGACTCCCAGGGGCCCGGCGCTAACCAGAGGGGACAGCCATTAGCCATTAGCATACGCGCTTGGTTGTCAGGGAGCCATTTGAATCTTTACCCAGTCTCTGTGGTGTATTCTCCAAGCGCGACGATGAAGGAAGAGCCCTGCGCTGCAATTAAACACTCTTACTATATGTTACAGATAATATGGGCTCCTATAGCATATAGCAAGGACTGAACTAACTAGAGCAGTCCCATGGAAACAACAGCAATCCAAATATTTATGTTAGAGCAAGAAAAAAAGGAACATTGCAATTATACTTAATACATTCATAGAGAAGGTAGTTTTCAAGGGGCAGTGGATGAATGACTCTAGTAGCACTTTGACAGTCTTGTGAAGCACATTGCCAGTGAAAAGCTTTATTTATTTATTTATTAAATCTTAAAATGTACTTTTATGAGCTTTTCACCAAAAAAGATGTTCTCTTATCATTATCTCATTACTCACTACATTTGAGGCTTGGGTGCTCAGAAACAATTTCGCCTTCTCCCTGTTTCCACCCACTGACCCTCATTTATCAACAGTGCGGTGAAAAGGCTGTACATTTGGGTATATATTTGTGCTTATGCCAGAGAGCACGTGGTATTTATGAACCTGCTGTACTCTCAAGGAGAGGAGAACCACGCTTGAACTATCTGGTAAAAATATACAACTGCAACTGCAATTGCATTTGTGTTTGGATTAGCAAAATATGACATCACATTCTGATATAACATCACATTCTGATTTGACTTCATTATCTCTCAGAGTTCACATTTTAAACATATCCAAGAGAAATGACAAATAGGCTTATGCGGGATAGTTTATTGTTTCCAGAGGACTTTCTATTATGTATATAACTGGAGCCTTCAGGATTTGATAGATGATGATTAAGTTCAGAATTTCCTTTTTGGAAACGATATAACTTTCCAATATATAATCACATTCCAAGACAACTTCACATTCCAAGATGACATCACATTCAGTGATCACATCACGTACCAAATCAAATCAAATTCGGATATGACATCGTCTTTTAATGACAGAATTATGTTCAATGTTCAGATTTTAAATACGTCCAAGAGAAGTGCCTAAATAGGTGCATGAATCCTGGATATACACATTTATA